CACCCGGCCACTGGTGATCCCTGTCTTTTCTGGTGGATAGCATCTCGTTTCTATGTGCAATTCGATGTGTTTGTCCCTCATCTCAGCCGCTTTGTTCTTTTTACTCCGCAGGTTCAATAACCAGTTCATGCTGCAGTGGCCTAACCTCAATCCCCTGGCGTTGCTTCGCGAGTTACAATCCAAGTATGAAAATCAATCGCGACCCGAGGTGGAGGCGTTGGTGGACCTCCTGCTTAGGGCTGGTGTCGACCAAGGCTACCTTACTCGCCCCTGTTTGGATCCCACGGACCTTTCCTGTCCGAAACAGGCTCCCAATCATCGCGACTCGGTATGTTTAACTGCATTTTGCATTGACGTACGACTTTAAAGTTGCGTCTACTGTCTCTCAAACTGGATTCTGTACTTGCAATTGGCTTTGTCCGTTTATTGTCTCAACGGCTCCAACCAGCTAGCATTTGGGCACTGGATGTTTCTTCAATCTTCCCCTTCACCGTCCTTGGCCTTAATACTGCCCTTATATAATCTCCACATCCTTTCTGTCGTGTTTAAATGCCATATGTCACACTAAACATAGTCACCGAGTCTATTGAGTATACATCCTGAACAAGCGGACGGCTGCCTATGGGATCTGTGTGACGGGGACAAAATGCCGCGTCGACTACTGTTCACAATAGCACCTGCATTCGTATTGACTTAGCCTTCGCACTGAAGAGCGCTGACAATAGGAAGGGGGTGGTTTGTGCTGCGCTAATATATTTTTTCAATACAAACGTCAGAAGTCAACGGGGCTCTGGCACAGTCATCAAATCCTTTTTTCCTAGTGTGATTTACATGAATGTCTGATCCATACGTTGAGTAAAGTCGGCGCTTGTGATCTGTTTCAAAAATACGTCTAGTCAAAGCTTTTTTTGCCCAGGCCTCTTACTACAAGGCAAGTCACCATTTACCACGCAATGTTCAAAGAGAACGACGCTTGACCCACCTCATGTGCGTTTCACGCACATACGGAGAAGCTACCCTAGCTACAGTTCGAAGTGATTAGTTGGATCAGACCCCACCTTCATACCCCTTTGTCTCCCCTTTCAGTGCGCTTTCCCTATCCCACTCCCCTTTCGTCCGATCATCTGGTCGACTACCATCACGCAAGCAACTAATTTATCAGTGGCGGCGATATCTCTGTGATTTCGCCGTCTCGTCCGCCTTCAGACGGGGCCATTACCGTAGCCACTGGTAATGCAACGCATCGTTCCTCTCCCCCCCCCTCCACTCACTGTTGACTCGTCTTAGCGCCCTCGCTTCAATCGACAGGGCAGATTGTGGTCGTACATATTCGAATAGTGTGTACTGAAGACGCAAAAAAGCTCCTCTAAACATTCCTGATTCTGTCCGTTATTACCAATTGTTTTTCTATGCTCTATTGCTCATCCTTTCAAAGTACCGCTTTCGGATAGACTGAGTTAAGTCCCTTCCGCCTACCTCCTTTTTAGCCTCCAGACGTGGCCAGAATCCTGTCTGCAGGCTGTCCGGGCTTCGCTTCGAACATTCTTCACTGGCCCAGAGACATAATTGTTGGGGGGCGCCGTTGTTCCTCAACGCAACATGCTGCCAACGAGAACTTTACTGTCCCCTGCTCTGATATGCAGCCTGAAGAGAGCGGTAGGCTCATGACTGCCTCCACCTTGCAGTCTCTCATCCTCCTCCGTTCTCCCATG